CTTACTATGCCTCCCAAGTCTTTTTCACATTCTGAATGATCAAGCTCTACTTCACCTAGTTTATAGCTTCGAGGGTTATTTGTCCAAATCCTCCTGGAGTTCATTGCAGTTCTCCTCAGAATGAATCACATGGTCTATCATTGTATTATCAGCAAATTTGCTCATGTGATGAATGGTTTGAAAAACCGACAAGTTGAAGATTGAGACACTCATGTAGCATATGGGAATCTTTATTCAGGAAACGTACATTCTACAAGATTGATGGACTGAACACATCGACTCCAGGCTGAGGGACTGATTACCTCATACTCCTCCTCTCCTTACGCCTTCCTTTTTGTATTGGACTGATGAAGCCACTGTGTGGCGAAAAGTTTCCTGAATAAAGATTCCCATATGCTACATAAGTGTCTCAATCTTCAAATTTGCTCATGTCACTCATAATCCCTTCAGCAAGGTCATTAATGTAAATTATGAACAAGAGAGGGCCTATAACTGATCCTTGTGGAATGCCACTAGTGACTAATCCCCAGTCAGATTTGACTCCATTAATCAAAACTCTCTGCTTTCTGTTGGTAAGCCATGCCTCTATCCATGCTAGAACTTTACCTCCTGTACTATGAGCTGCCACTTTTCTTAAGGGTCTCTTGTGAGGTACTCTATCGAAGGCTTTACTAAAATCCAAATAAACAATATCATGTTCTTTATCACTGTCTACTGCCTCAAATGTTCTATTGAAGAACGTCAGTAAATTTGTCAGGCAGGAATGACCTCTTGTGAACCCATGCTCTTCAAGGTGACTTCTAATAATGTCAGCTATAACTGATTCTAGTAACTTGCCCACTATAGATGTCAGGCTTATTGGATGGTAATTTGAAGGAATGGACTTATCCCCTGATTTGAATATAGGAACCACATAGCCAGCTTCCACAACTCTGGCACAACACCAGTAAGGATGGATGCATTAAACACACTCGTTAATGGTTGACTAAGTTCCATCTTGCATTCCTTAGATACCCTGGAAAACAACTCGTCGGGACCCAGGGACTTATTTTGCTTCAGTTTGTCTATCTGTTAGATAACCATGTCCCTCGTGACAGTAATATTAGTCAATCTGAATTCATCAGGAACTGAATAATTGTTAATTTCTGGAATCTCATTTATGTCTTCCTGTGTAAAAACTGACAAAAAAATAGTCATTAAATATGGAACACATTTCTAGTTCGTTATCCGTCAGCTGTGCATTCCCAATTTTCAAAGGTCCTACTTTTTCTTTCACCGTCATCCTATACACTTGAAAGAACCCCTTTGTATTGGTCTTTGATTCATTAGCAACTTAATTTCATAGTCATGTTTAGCCTTTCTAATCCCCTTTTTTACTTCTCTTTTAAGCTGAACATATTGGTCAGTAAGGTTAACCTTTCCTCTTCTGATGTGCCTATAAATTCCCCTTTTGTCCCCTAATAGATGCTTTAGCCTCCTGTTAACCCATTTGGGATTGTTATTATTAGACCTAATTTCTCTCTGGGGAATGTGTATACTCTGAGCATGGTGTACATTATTAACCCTTTGACTGTTTTAGTTGTATATACAGTATAGGTCTTACGAGCCAGTGTTTCGGACGTATATATACTCAATTATTCTAACGGCTTCAAATCAAGCAGGAGAAAGCTGGTAGGCCCACATGTGAGAGAATGGGTTTGTGTGGTCAGTGTGCACCACATAAAAAAAATCCTGCAGCGCACTGTGCATAATGAGAAAAAAAACTGACCATTTTTCTGGATTAAAACGCTGACTTTGAGATGTATTTTTATATAGTATTTATCGTTGTATTCTCGTTTTCATGGTCTCATGTGATAAAATGGAAAACGTATTGCAGAAATAGGGATGATTTTGATTAGTTTCACGATGAAAATGACCTTGAAATTGAGCTCAAAGTAGCGGAAATGTTTGATTTTTACCAATGTTCAAGAGTAAGCAAATCACACTACACGTCCAATACAGGTCAACTGGGGAGTCTAATATTCTTTCACTAGTGCACTGATATTATTTATACCATTTTTACAATAATGCAGTAGTCTGCATAACAGTAAATTTTGTATTTTTTGTATGAATAAAAAATAAAAATAGAAAGCAATAGTAATATAAGAGGGGCCTAGAGATGTGACTAATGAACAGAGGATATGTTATTTTAGTGCCAAGAATGTCTTCATTGTTTATTCTGGACCCTATTTTGAAACTGGCATCTTTTTTAATTTGCGTGAAATTGACCAAATTACCAATTTTTGACCACTTTATTGGGCAGTTCAAATTGGTAAATGGGCAGTTTCTTGTACTCAGTTGATAGAAAAAATGGAGTTCTAAAGAAATAGCTATGAGTTTGGTCAACTGGAACAATGGAATTGGCCAAAAACAGGGCTCAAAGTTGGCGAAATCGCCGATGCTTATATGTCGCCAAGACCGCTAACTTTGTTGGAGCGTAATTCCGTGAGTTTTCGACCAAATTTCGTACTTTTGGTGTCACTACCATCAGGAAAAGATTCTCTATCATTTCATAAGATTTTTTTTTTTTTTTTTTTCAAAAATTTTGCGACATAGAATGACAGTTTCAGAAAGGGGCCTGTGACAGTCAAAGGGTTAAGAAAAAATCATAAATGAAGATCCCTTCATGATCATAAGTATGATCATTGCCAATAAAATCATTAGCTAAATAACCCCAATCGAAATTTGAGAGGTGGTACCTAAGTCCACTATAATCGGCAGAACGAAAATCAGGAATTTTTACCGTATTATCTTTATTCTTGTATTCCCAGTTAATGCTAAAAGTGATGGATTTGTGATGACTTGTGCCAAGCTCTTAAGTGATCTCCAGATTATTTACGAATGTTTCCTTATTTGACAAGACTAGGTCTAGCAAATTATTACCCCTGGTAGGCTCTGTTACACACTGCTTCAGAAAACAGTCCTGAACTGTTTCCATAAAGTCACTGGACTCCAGATTACCTGTCAAAGAATTCCAGTCATTTTGACTAAAGTTAAAATCCCCTATTATCACTATGTTACTGTGTCTAGAAGCCATAACAATTTCGTCCCAAAGAAGTCTCCTTTTATCATGATCCAAGCTTGGAGGTCGGTATATTACACCTAGAATTAGTTTTTCTTAACCTACAAAATTCTACCCAAACAGATTGTTACTGTTCCATCTATTTTTATACCTGTTTTTATGCAACAGTTAATATTTTCTTGAACATATAATGCAACTCCTCCCCCCTTCCCATTACATCTATCCACATGGAACAACTTAAACCCTTAAATATTACACTCAGCAGTCATATCCCGACTCTTTAAATCATACCACATTTCAGTTAATGCAATGACATCAAAGTTCCTAGCACATGCTACCAAATGTAGTTCATTAATCTTATTTCTTGCACTTCGACTGTTAGCATAAAATAACATCATATGTTTTTTCTTCTGCACATTTTTCCTATTCACCTTTGTTTTTACACAATTTCTGATATTATCATTACCCAGAGTTACTCCATGACAGTTACTATTAAGATTCTTAATATCAGAGCATAAGTCAATATTTCCATACTCATTATTTATCATTTCTAAACCCATACCTCTAACTAATCCTAGTTTAAATAGTGGGAAGGATTGTGAAGGACCTGCCTAGTATGGGCCAACAGGCCTGCTGCAATGTTCCTCCTTTCTTATGTTCTTTTGGACTTCTGTTACTTATACTTCTTGAAATTAATAAGAAGAAATAAATCCTAGTACATAATCTATTAGCCTTATTGCACACACTGGGGCACTGTTGTCTTGGCTTTAGATTTCTACTTACCATGACTCCTAAGTCTTTTTCACATTCTGTATGATCAAGCTCGAGGGTTATTTTCATTACCAAGGCCTGGTAGCTTACACTTATCCACATTGAACTTCATCTGCCATTTTTCAGACCAAGACATTAATTTGTCCAAATCCTCCTGGAGTTCATTGGTATCCTCCTCAGAATGAATCATATGGCCTACCTTTGTATCATCAGCAAATTTACTCATGTCACTTGGAATTCCTTCATCAAGGTCATTAATGTAAATTATGAACAAGAGAGGGCCTAAAAGTGATCCTTGTGGAATGCCACTAGTGACTAATCCCCATTCAGATGTAACCCCATTAATGAAAACTCTCTGCTTTCTGTTGGTAAGCCATGCCTCTATCCATGCTAGAACTTTACCTCCTATACCGTGAGCTGCCACTTTTCTTAAGAGTCTTTTGTGAGGTGCTCTATTGAAGGCTTTACTAAAATCCAAATAAACAATATCATATTCTTTATCACTGTCTACTGCCTCAAATGTTTTATTGAAGAACATCAGTAAATTTGTCAGGCAGGAATGACCTCTTGTGAACCCATGCTGAGATTCATTAATCAAATTATGCTCTTCAAGATGACTTCTAATAATATCAATTATAATTGATTCTAATAATTTGCCTGCTATAGAAGCCAGGCTAATTTGATGGTAATTTGATGGCATGAACTTATCCCATGATGTGAATATAGTTATCCCATGATGTGAATATAGGAACTACATTAGCTGTCTTCCACATCTCTGGCACAACACCATTTAGGATGGACACATTAAACACACTCGTTAATGGCTGACTAAGTTCCAAGCTTAGTTCCAATGCTACCCAAGCTTATTGCTTGGGTAGCATTGAAAATTGATTTAGCCAAATATTCTGTTAGTGGGATGGATTGTAAAGGATCTGCCTAGTAGAAGCCAAGAGGCCTGCTGCAGTGTTCCTCCTTTTTTGTGTTATGTTTTTATGATGCAACTGGAGGTGTTGGAGTTATGTAGAGACGACTGATTCTCCACACTTCATGAAAAAACTTTGGTGTTTGAAACTTTTCGAATTTCAGAATTTTGGATAAAGACATGTGGACCCGTATTCTGAAGCTTGTTCTCATGTAGCTAATTAATGTATGAATATTAACCTTCCAGAACAGGTCTTTCTAAAGTCATGGAACTTTTTCGAAGTCATCGTGGAGAAACTAATGAAGAGCGGCAGCGAAGGAAGAGCGGAGGAGTGAGTACACTTTACTCAGATACTTTATTACAGTAAAAGAAATTAAGATTTGTAATAGTTTTTATTGCAGTATTGTTATTTCAAAAGATAGGGTATTACACTGATTATATTATTCTCATATTAAATGAATTAATAAATAAAAATGTTAATAAGTTAAGTTAATGATCATTTGAAAATCTTTTTAAAGGTTTATTTAAAATCTTAATTATTTTACTGTACATATATTAATGTATTAAAGACTATTATAAAGTGACCAGTTTGTGTACATGTTATAACAGCAAGAGAGGAGTTTAACTCCTTTACCGGTACTGAATTGTGCTCAAGTGATGTACTGTTCTATAGTACCCTACCATACTCAAGTGAAGTACTGTACAGTAGTGAAATATTGTACTATAGTACTCAACTGTAGTTCATTTCTGTATAATAGTACTATACTGTAGTGCAGTACTGTATTATAATACTATACAGTAGTATTCTTCTGTAGTGCAGTACTATATTATAGTACAGTACTCTATTATAGTGCAGCACTGTACTGTGGTACTGTACTGTATCACTCTACTGTAGGACTATAGTGCAGTACTGTTTCATAGTACTGTATTGTAATACTATAGTACTGTACTGCAGTGCTGTAGTACAGTAGTGTATTCAACAGGGCCAAGCTTCTGCAGATGGTGGTGACAGGTAAGTGAACTATCATAACTGGGATAATATATTTGAGCCACAGCTTAAATCCATGTGAGCTCTCATCTTGGGGAAACCTGTCTCTCAGTTCTTCTACAAGAATCCAGTTGCTGTCTGAGTATACATTATTGTGTATCCCCCACGGAAGGCTAACACCTACTGCTAATACATAGTGTTACTAACTTTCCAAGATGGAAGCAGTCAAACCTTCCAGGTTTTTTTTTGTTCACAACCAAAATGGCTCTATTTTCTTGTGGAATTTTGAAAACCTGAAGCTTAATTTTTGGAAACTATAGTGTCTTATTTGTATCTGTCAACCCACTGTAAACTGAAAAATTGTTGATATTATTCTGTTCATGGGAAAGCTTTAAACCATCACTGGGTCATACAGCATCTGGGAAATGGGTAGTAATTAAATTTGACTCAATGAAGGGAAATCTAGTTCCATTTCCAAGGAACAAAAACCCTTTGCCAAAATCAAGGCACTCCTATAATGAGTGAAAACTGAGTAAAATGAAATCTGGGTAAAATCTCTGAAAAGTGCTAGAGAGAGAGAGAGAGAGAGAGTGTGAGTGTGAGTGTGAGTGTGAGTGTGAGTGTGAGTGTGAGTGTGTGTGAGTGTGAGTGTGAGTGTGAGTGTGAGTGTGAGTGTGAGTGTGTGTGTGTGTGTGTGTGTGTGTGTGTGTGTGTGTGTGTGTGTGTGTGTGTGTATCATCTGGGTTCGATAACATGGATGGGGTAAAAATACTCACGTAGGCTGGTAGTACGTATAATATATAACGGAAAGTATGGGATGCGCCAACAGCTGACCTGCCTCTCTCTCTGCTTCCTATCTCAGACTGACTCACAAGTGCCTAGCGGGTAAGGCATTCAAAAATATGCTATGGTCAGCAGCAACATGAGTAACAGTCAGTGATTCACACAGACGGTTGGTAGTGAGTCATCTACTGATGCACTGGTTACTGGTAACTGGTTACTAGGAACTGGTACTACTACTGAGATGTGTGTGTGTGTGTGTGTGTGTGTGTGTGTGTATGTGTGTGTGTGAGTGGGAGAGTGAGTGAGTGAGTACGTACTCACCTAGTTGCACTCACCTAGTTGTGGTTGTGGGGCTCGAGTCACAGCTCCTGGCCCCACCTCTTCAACTCTTCCCGCTCTGTGAGCTTTATCATACCTCTTCTTAAAGCTATGTGTGGATCCTGCCTCCACTACATCACTACCCAGGCTATTCCACTTCCTGACAACTCTGTGACTGAAGAAATACTTCCTAACATCCCAGCAGTTCATCTGAGTCTTCAACTTCCAACTGTGACCCCTTGTTGCTGTGTCCCATCTCTGGAACATTCTGTCTCTGTCCACCTTGTCTATACCTCCCAGTATTTTATATGTCATTATCATATCCCCCCTATCTCTCCTGTCTTCCAGTGTCGTCAGGTCGATTTCCCTTAACCTCTCCTCGTAGGACATACCCCTTAGCTCTGAGACTAGTCTTGTTGCAAACCTTTGCACTTTATTTAGTTTCTTTACATGCTTGGCTAGGTGAGGGTTCCAAACTGGCACTGCATATTCCAATATAGGCCTAATGTACACAGTTCACAGGGTCCTGAATGAGTCCTTATTTAGATGTCAGAATGCTGTTCTTAGGTTTGTCAGGTGCCTGTATGCTGCAGCAGTTATTTGGTTGATGTGTGCCTCAGGAGATGTGCCCAGTGTTATACACACAACAAGATCCTTTTCCCTGAATGAGGTTTGTAGGCTCTGGCCCCCTAGACTGTACTCAGTCTGTGGTCTTCTTTGCCCTTCCCCAATCTTTATGACTTTGCACTTGGTGGGGTTGAACTCTAGGAGCCAGTTGCTGGACCAGGCCTGCAGTCTGTCCAGATCCCTTTGTAGTTCTGCCTGGTCCTCGTCTGATTTAATTCTTCTAATCAACTTTACATCATCTGCAAACAGGGACACTTCGGATTCTATTCCTTCCATCATGTTGTTCACAAATACCAGAAACAGCACCAATCTTAGGACTGATCCCTGTGGCACCCCGCTCATTACAGATGCCCACTCTGACACCTCGCCATGTACCATGACTCACTGTTGTCTTCCTGACAGGTATTCCCTGATACATTGCAGTGCCTTCCCTGTTATCCCTGCCTGGTCATCTAGCTTTTGCACTAATCTCTTGTGTGGAACTATGTCAAACACCTTCTTACAGCCCAAGAAAGTGCAATCTACCCACCCCTCTCTTTTGTCCTACTGCTGTAACCCTGTCATAGAACTCCAGTAGGTTTGTGACACAGGATGTCCCGTCCCTGAAACCGTGCTGGTTATTATTAATAAGCTCATTCCTTTCTAGGTGTTCCACCACTCTTCTGATAATTTTCTCCATGACTTTGCATACTATACACATCAGTGCCACTGTTCTGTAGTTCAATGCTTTGTGTCTTTCTCTTTTAAAAATTGGGACTACATTTGCTTTCGATAGATGTGTTGAATATTGTTGTTAGGGGTACACACAGCATCTCTGCTCCCTCTCTAAGGACCCATGGAGAGATGTTATCTGGCCCCATCACCTTTGAGGTATTTAGTTCACTTAGCAGCCTCTTCACTTCTTCCTCGGTTGTATGTACGTATTGTGTCCAACATTTGATGGTGTACCCCCTCTCCGTCTTTCTGGAGTCCCTTCTATCTCCTCTGTGAACACTTCTTTGAATCTCATGTTGAGCTTCTCACATACTTCGCAGTCGTTTTTTTTGATCTCTCCTCCTTTCTTCTTAAGCCTGATTACCTGGTCCTTGACTGTTGTTTTCCTCCAGATATGGCAGTACAACAGCTTCAGGTCAGAATTGGCTTTTGTTGTGTGTGTGTGTGTGTGTGTGTGTGTGTGTGTGTGTGTGTGTGTGTGTATGTGTGTGTGTGTGTGTATACTCACCTAATTGTACTCACCTAATTGTGGTTGCAGGGGTCGAGCCTCAGCTCCTGGCCCCGCCTCTTCACTGATTGCTACTAGGTCCTCTCTCTCTCTGCTTCCTGAGCTTTATCATACCTCTTCTTAAAACTATGTATGGTTCCTGCCTCCACTACTTCACTTGCTAGGCTATTCCACTTCCTGACGACTCTATGACTGAAGAAATACTTCCTAACGTCTCTGTGACTCGTCTGAGTCTTCAGCTTCCAGTTGTGACCCCTTATTCCTGTGTCCCCTCTCTGGAACATCCTATCTCTGTCCACCTTATCTATTCCCCGCGGTATCTTGTATGTCGTTATCATGTCTCCCCTGGCCCTTCTGTTCTCCAGTGTCATCAGTCTGATTTCCCTCAACCTTTCCTCGTACGACATTCCCCTGAGCTCTGGGACTAGCCTTGTTGCAAACCTTTGTACTTTCTCTAACTTCTTGATGTGCTTGACCAGGTGTGGGTTCCAGACTTGTGCTGCATACTCCAGTATGGGCCTAACATACACAGTGTACAGTGTCTTGAACGATTCCTTATTTAGGTATCGGAATGCTATTCTCAGGTTTGCCAGGCACCCGTATGCTGCAGCAGTTATTTGGTTGATGTGTGCCTCTGGTGACGTGCTCGGTGTTATGGTCACCCCGAGGTCTTCCTCCCTGAGTGAGGTCTGTAGTCTTTGTCCACCTAGCCTATACTCTGTCTGCAGTCTTCTTTGCCCCTCCCCAATCTTCATGACTTTGCATTTGGCAGGATTGAATTCAAGAAGCCAGTTTCTGGACCACATGTCCAGCCTGTCCAGGTCTCTTTGCAGTCCTGCCTCATCCTCATCCAATTTAATTCTTCTCATCAACTTCACATCATCTGCGAATAGGGACACTTCAGAGTCTATTCCTTCCATCATGTCGTTCGCATATATCAAAAATAGCACTGGCCCTAGAACTGACTCCTTTGGGACCCCGCTCGTCACAGGCGCCACTGTGTGTGTGTGTGTGTGTGTGTGTGTGTGTACTCACCTAATTGTGATTGCAGGGTCGAGACTCAGCTCCTGGCCCTGCCTCTTCACTGATCGCTACTAGGTCCCCTCTCTGCTTCCTGAGCTTTTTCATACCTTGTCTTAAAGCTATGTATGGTTCCTGCCTCCTGTGTGTGTGTGTGTGTGAGTGAATGAGTATATGTGAGTGAGTGAGTGAGTAAATGTGTGAGTGTGTGTGAGGAGCTTTTTATTAAAAACAAAATTTCATAGGTTAGTAGTATGGTGTTACCCTACTGATACACATTGTGTACAGTAGGACCCCTGTATCTGCGAGGGATATTTTGCAAGGACCTACCGTGGATATCAAAACCACGAATAGTAGCAAACCCTATATGTAA